CGTACGGCCCCGGGAAACTCAGCGGGGCCACCAGAACTCACGCACACACACGCGCAAACAGAAGCGCGCGCAGATACTTACGTACTTAGCACTCAAGTGCGCGGAAGTGCGTATGTGTGCAAAGTCCGCGTGCATGCACGTGCACGCAAGAACGCCAGCGCACGCGCGGAGAGGGAGAGCTGCGCTAAAACCAGGGCTCCGTATACGCTTTATGCTCTGCGAGAAAGAGAGAGAGCGAGAGCGAGCGCTCTTTGTGCTGCAGCTTTGTTTTCGAGACGAGCGTCTGCCCCGAATAATGCCCACGCTCTCTTGCCGCTCGTTTTGCCCCATTCGAATTTGGAGAAAAACGGACGCTGTTGCCGAGGCAGATCGCGTGCTCATGCGGATTGAGGCCTATTAACTTTTCATTCTCTCTCTCTCACTTTCTGTTGCTCTCTTAACCAGTTCAACGTACCCGCGCGCAAAAGCAATGGAGTTCCAGCAATTTATTATTAGGCATTTTCTACTTGCTCCAAGGTCACCCGAAATGGATACAGCCGCCGAGAAGTGTAGGTAAAACTTTCTTATCACACACACAGCGAGAGAGAGAAAGAAAGAGAGAGAGAGAGAGTACGAGCGAGAGACTGCGACAGAGATCTACTCCTCTCGGGTTTCTTGAAAGACAGCTCAGTAGTAGAGCTGATTTCCCACGACGACGACGACGAAGACGATGACGGCGGCGGCGGGGCGAGAGAAAAGAAAGACGCTCTGCCATTGCTGAGTGTTGTGCTGCTGCGGCAATCGACGACGTAGGAACAGAGAGCGAGAGAGAGAGAGAGAGAAAGCCGATGAACCGAGGCGGCCCAGACGGAGAAAAGAGCGCGAGGACGGTCGAGCTGGCAACGCGGTGAATAGTAGTCGAGCTGGCAACAGCGCAGCCAAGCAGGCAACCGCTCGCTCGCTTGGCTCACCAACACGCTGCCCAATCGACCACACGTCTACACGAAAGAATCCCGTTTCGCCGCCGCGTCGAGCATCCGCTTTTCCATCATCTCGCTTCTTCGCTCTCTAACTCCGCCTGGCTGTGCACAGAGCTGCTACGGCTGCTGCTGCCGCTGCTTCTACTGCTGCTGCAGCTGCTGCTGCCGCTGCCTCCTTTGAAGAGCAGAGAATGAAAAAAGTGCTGTTGCTGCAGCTCACGGATTACGACGCTGACGATGCGACCTTAAACTCGATCTCGTCGTCTTCGTCGTAGAACTCGCTAATCATCCCTCGTTGCAGTATCAACACCAGCAAAACCACTCGCGAATAACGGAAGACGCGCACGTAGTCAGCGTAGCTGCCGCGTACCTACGTGGTTGTAGCCTTATAAGGCATTCTCAAAAAGTTACGCGTTTGTCGAATCGATCAACGACACCGCAGTAATTACATGCCGAGGAAGGTATAAAGCTTCTCTCTTTCTCTCTCTTGCTTGCGGTCGTGCTTGGGCAGAAGATTTCGTGGGGTTTCGATGCACGCGCGCACACACCGGTTCTCTCTCTCTCTCCCTCCCTCTCTCTCTCCCTCTCTCTCTCTCTCTCTCTCTCTCGCATACTCGCGCGCGGAGCGGGCAGGTAGACGAGACCCACACGCATTAACTCGCAACGCGACTGCACATGATTTTACGAGCGCGTGCGAAGGAATTTTTTCTCGACAAAGCGAGAGAGAGCGGTCAACGAATTTATTACGTTGGCCCGCTGGCACGTTTCTCTCGTTTGGTCCGGTGTTGTCGGAAATCGATGCACAAGCATGTAATCGACCGACAGTAGCAGCAGCCGGAACAATCGGCGGCGGCGCAGCGTAAGTTCATAACTTGGGCCGATTGTTCGAGCATTCGTCGCTGCACGCGTAACTCTGTAAACAAATGCAATCGATACGAGCAACAATCCGGTCAACAGGAGTGCACGTCGAGCAGAAATACAGCGCTCGATAGCACGGCCGAGGCGAAGAGAGAGAGAGAGAGAGAGAGAGCCGGACGATCTCGTCGCGCGTCTCGCGGCGTCGTAGCCAGCGACAGAGAGAGAGATAGAGAGAGGGAGAGAGAGAAGGAAAGCCGTTGTCCGCGCCGCGAGCTCCCTACTCTCGCGCGCCGATTCCGGGTCGTGCTGGACAATCATTGATAAAGCGCCGCGCGCCTCCGCAGAAAGTGCGCGCGCGAGCGCCCTTCGCGCCTCCTCGGCGCCGCCGATCGATCGCGCGCTCGTCGCCAGCGCTAATATATGCCATGACGGACACGCGCACGCACGGGGTCGCCGACTGAGCGCTGCCGCGAGCCGATTTGTTTTGCCGCCGGCGGACGCGGCTTGCAATTAAAAATAGCGCGCTCCCCGAAGCTGCGCTTTCTTCCAGCGCCGAGGCCGTCGCGGCGAGATATTTCGGTCGAGAAACGGGCGTGGACGCCGAGGCGGACTTCCGATTTTGCCGATGCGCTCGGGTCGATCGCGGCGCAGCACCGGACCTTCGAGAGCGACCCGCGTAGCTGAAAGTTAATTGCGGACTCGGCCGGTTGCCGCGTCTAGACGGGGTGTGGAGCTACTTAGTTTCCCTTCTTTTTTTCTTGTTTTTGTCTCGATCGGCGCCGATGCGTTGCCACGCAATGTCCGTGGCGGAGACGCGGAGTTGTTCCTCGGCCAGGTGCGCCGCTTATCAGGAGACATCGCGACGCACGCGCGCGAGATAATCCAACGGAAGAGTGTGCGTGCGACGCGACCGGAGAGAGAGGAAGACTGGCGGCGTCCACGTGGAACGCGAAAATCCAGCTCATGAAAAGGAAAAGGCCAAGCCGGCTCGGCGCAGAGCAGCGGGTCATCGCATCGGAGCCGCAAGCGGCAACGCTAGCGCTGATTACTCGACGGCGAAAGGGTGTGGCAGTGAGAGAGCGCCATTGAGTCGTTACACGCAGGAATAGCATGCACGTACAGAAAAGATCTCTCGCGTCTGCAGCGGCGGCGGCAGCCAGGCAGCTAGCGAGAGAGGGAGGTGGGAGGAACGCGGCGGGCCGAGGGGCGAGGATGAACCAGCTTGAAGGGGATAGAGTCGACTGCAAATAATCAATATACGAGCGAGACTCGCGGAACAGGGATCGATCTAACCACTCGCTCTTACGCCTTCCTGTACGGAGCGTCAGGCGAGTTTAACCATTACCGCGAATGCTGACTGTTAAACGCCGAAACTTCGCAGATCCAATTTTAAGTAGGCCGATAATGGAATTTCCCGTAAAACATACACGATCAAGATAGAAGAAAAAAAGGTTTGCGTGTGGACAGCATGATGCACGATGTATTCAATCATTTTGCGAGCAAAACATACAATGAGAAAGTAAAAGTCCGGAGTAGCATTCAAAACGGAACACGCCGTACGATGAGGAATTTACGTTATCTCAAATAGAAACGTACAATCTCGTATAGGGCCTTGAAATATTTTCTTTAATAATACTTGGTTTGCGCAGACTAAAAAATGCAATACGCCGACATGCGAACACGACACTGCGAGCGACGTGCGGTCGGCGGATTTCTCGTGAAAAAGTAAGACTTGCGGAAAAATGACTGAACAGCAGGATTATCAGAAGCAACGCTTCGCGAGCGCCGACGAGAAAAAGGTAGCTACGCTGCCGTGGGTACTTTGATGACGTGTACTTGCGACCGAGCAACATTGTCTTTTGAAAACGCTCTCCGAAACGTTCGATAAATATCGCAGCTGCGAGAGAGCCACAAAAAAGTCACCGCTGCTCGAGTCTCACTCCGTTTACCGATGAGACGTTCCGCCGGTAACGGAACGTTCGCCTTTCCCCGGAAGGTGGTGCGCGCGAGCGTAAATCGACCGATGCCCTACATGCGACTGGACACGACAGTGCATCTTCGGATGCGCTTGCAATCGTCTATGGGCGAAAGCCATAGGCGGAAGATCCGCGAGTGTTATGAAGGCGAATTCGAGCGATGCTCCGACGCCAGTGTCGGACGCTTCGTTCAAAATTCACATTTATAAACACGATTAGTTATTCGCCGATGAAGGTGTTGAAAAGCCGGAAAAGAGTTAGGCTAAGAGCAATTCCTGCCAGCCACTAATAAGGTATTACGCTGAACGACAAGGGAACCTCTGGGTGTATAATGCTTTTCAAATTGCTCGCTGCTGATCAAAAACAAATGGTCCGACGTTTAGAGATAGTGAAAAAATTGACACTTTCAATATCAACGCGTCTTTCAAATCAAATTTGAATTATAGCATTGCTTGTGTTATTAAGAGTCTTTTGAAAACATGTTTTTCAAGGTGCATACGAAGAACCTGGAGTTGTTTGCAAAATGTTCGATAGTCGCTTGAATAAAAGAAAATGTAAATAAAATTATTGATTTTTAAACGAGAACAATCGACAGCAACTGCACAATGATAGAGTGCTGGAATGTCAAGTGAACAAAGACTCTAACGTTAGACGACGTCTAAAGCTCGAATTGCCCACTATGACGGCCTAGTCAGTATCCTACTGTCCTTGTCGGGGGATTGCATGGTAAAAAATTATGAAAAGTTGTGAACTCATGGGAGTCGATTACACAAAGGAATTTTTTCCCAAGAACTGCGTGGGCTGACATTTTTAATTTCGAGCATCTAGCTCCTTAGTACTTCTCACCAACGATATACCTTGAATTTCGGAGCATTCGATGCATTATTTAACCGGTTAAAACCAATTGCGACTTTCAGTTGAAATTAAAATATAAATCGAGCAAATATAAATCCATCTGACAGCTTACACGTTCTAGTGAGCAAAACGATGTTCCAAAATTGACTAGTCGAGCTCTCGATATATCAAGATTGATCAATGATAATCTTCAAAACGCCTGTTATAGACGTTACAATTTTTTCCATTACAGTAAATCTATGTATACGTGTTAATATGTATGATAAGTTATGAGAGTTATTAAAAATAGTATTATTTAAAAATACAAGTATATTTTTTGACGTTGCAGATATAAACCTCAGGCTTGGGCCCTGCACAACAAGCATCCTTAATTTGGTAATACTTTTTTACTAAGATAAAATGAAGATAACAGTTTCTCAAAGCGTCTCATAGATATACAAATTCCTTACAAAGCACATGGAATTTCATTGTCATTTGTAGTTTTTGTATGTATATATACTATGTAAAGTAATATTAATATTGATTATGAGATATTTTTTTTATCCAAATATATTAATTCTTTCACTTAAGATCAATCATCATAATTTATAGATGAAATAATGAAATTCTATGACAAATAGCTATGCTATAAAAGTTGTTTCGGCATTCAGAAATTTGTAATCTTTTGCTTTTAGAATTCTATTAAAATTAGGTATATTGTTCAATCTATAATAAATTTTATTTGGTAAAAAATTTATGACTTAAACATTACTCCTACTCCATTCTTCAAGTGGTGCACTTCTCTTAGTTGAGTCCTCTATTTTCTGGTTGCAATTTATTGGATTGCAAGAGTCTAACATACCAAACATCTTCATTAATACTCTGTAGGCTGCAATTTTTTGAGCTTCTTCGATTGTTTCACCAATACCTTGTAATACATTCCAAAACAGTTAAAAATAATATATGACAAAGGTATTCAAAATATCAATTATGCTGTAAATGTCTTACCAGAACCTAAAAATTCTTGATTAGAATATAATCCAATTTCATAAACTGGTAAAAGTGTATTTATACCTGATTGTGCAATAATTCTAGGTTCTGCGAACTCTCTATGTTCCCTGTCTAGAATATCATTCAAAATTTCCATAGGATCATCAGGACACCAGATTTCTGCCAAATCTTTTTCGACTAATTTTGCAATTAAAATATCTCGTATAAAAACTCCTGCATGTTCTAAGTTTACACTACGATTTAAAGCTGAAGTTAGAGCATATAACGTATTTGCTAGAGTTTCTTCCTCTACAGGGTGATCCTAAAAGAAATTATATTTATTATTTAATAAACTATATTATTAAACTAATAATCTTATACATACTGTTGATAAAATTAGATCTTTAGTTCCAATGCCTAACGATGTTTTTGCAAGTACTTCAATAGATATCAAGTAACTTTTTAATGCACTAAACAATTAAAAAAAAACATTACACTTTAGATTAAAGAGAAGTTTTGTAATTAATAAATCTCACTCACTGAATGCACTCCTTTGGAGCAAGAGGCAAAGCATTATTTAAATAGTTTTCAATAATTACAGATGTTATTGCTTTTCCTTCATCAATTAATTCTCGGTTATCTAAAATGTCTAATTGTGGATTTTCAATTCCAACCTTTTTCTGTTCTTCTTCTTCTTTTATTATGTATGATCTGTGTGTAAATGCTTGATCTAACAACTCTGTATCAAATTGTTCAGAAAGTCTATTGTTGAATGCATAGAGTTCAGCATTTCTATTCCAATCGAGATATTTATTGCGAGGATTGTTCGCTGGGTTAGTGTTTGGATTATTTTTTGCAAAAGTCTTTTTGCGATGAGTTAATTCTATTAAAGTTGGCCTAATGTATCTTTTGATTTGTCTTTGAGCTGAAATCGGATTCATCAGATATAAATAATTGAATTTACTTATGAATGAAACATTTTAATTTAAAAAATTTAACCTACGAATAAAACTTACAAACATGATTGACGACGTTCAAGTTTTGAAAGTTTAAAACTAATCTTCGACACAAACGGACACCGTACATTATATTTGTAACACTATTGCTTGAAACTTGTCACTTTTTAATATTAGCACAACGGAATGATGCAATAAATTGACTCCTCAAAATTTTTATAACATAGCTTGTTTTCAGCTGCACGAGCAGCACAAGAAACACCGACAGTATGCATCTATGCTATGTGTAGTTGAGCTTATGTAGAAGCGCTAACCAATCAAAGCACGAAAGTTTCATGTAAACTCGCTCTTACTGTTATCACTTTATGCAAGTAGTTGCAAGTCTACAATGAACACGAATTCTTTGACATTCACATCATTTAATGGGTACTTTGTTAAAGTCTAGAAAGCCTTTATCTTGATAAATATTAATCAATTTGCAAGTAGTTGTGTTCATAAACATTTCATTCCGATCATATAAAAATGTTCAAGACACTTCAAGACCCTGACGTTTCAGCTGCTATAGGTCCAATTTTAAACCTTACCACAAATGATTTAAAAGAATTGTTGAACAATGAAGATAGATTTGAGGAACTTATTAGATGCAATCAACAGGTATTTCAATTTATTTTTCCAAAAGTTATATTTATGAGCATGAGAGTATGTTTGTTTATATACCATGTTTATGCCTTAAGTTACAGGAGTTTGAGTTAGAGAAAGAAGAAATAATGGTCAGGAACCGTTCTTTGGCAGAATTCAATCTATCCAAAGAGCCTGAACTGGAAGAGGCTAAAAATGTAATACAATCTCTCAGTGAAGAAGGCAACCAATTGTGTTCTAGCGTTCAAGCAAAGCTTGAGAAAATAAGTAAATGATTTTGTATAAATCAAATTAGAGTTTTGCTTGATCATTCAATGTTGTTTATATCCACAGAAAATAAAGCTGGTACAATGACAACTGAAACTGCATTAGATTTATTACAAGCTGCTGCAGCAGAAATTGAAGAAGAGTCAGAGGTTTATATTGCTTGCCAAAAATTCTTTAATATGTTTAAAAGAAAGTAATTTTCAATTCTATTGCTTTTAGAAAGTGGCAGAAAAGTTTTTAGGTGCAGACATGGACGTTGATGATTTTTTGGAACAGTTCCTAACAAGACGCAAGCTCATGCATTTGAGAAAAGTGAAAGTTGATAAGATGAAAGAAATATTAAGAAGGCCTTCAAGTCATGTATCTGCAAATCCTGGATACCCAGTACCAGGAAGTTACCCTGGAATATCACTTCCTTATCCAGCAGGACTTGTATCGATGCCTATGCCAGTGCCACCAAGCTTGAAACCATTTTAGTCAATTATTATTTGAATTTCTCATTGTTTAGAGGAAGTTAAAGGTTTGTAATTTCCTTATCTTTCAGTCTTACATTATGTTTGTACAGAATTAAATTTTTACATTATGAATAAACTGAAAAAATTGGCCTGTATAAATAAGACATTTGTAGGATAATGTAATAGATTAAATTAAAGCAATGGCTAAATTATGAATATACAAGTCAAAAATTTTATACTCAATTATTCAAAATAATTTTCATAGAAAGATACATGCAAACTTTTGAAATCCTCTTCATGGTAGGCTATATGAAAAAAACATGGAAAGATAATGTTGAATTAAGATATTTCAAATGACAAACAAATGTATCATAGATTAATCTTAAATATGTCCATATATTTTTTATTTTTTTAAGTTTGTAGCAAGAACTCAGAACATTTTTATATTTTAAAACTTAAATATTTTGTTTAACATGATTATCAGTTGATTTAATCAATAATAGTAGATGACATCTCTTAATTGTATCTATTGGATTTGATTACTGATTTTTCAAATCCATTTAACCCAACATAAATACATTTGAGCATTATTTCATTGTCTAAGAATTATGACAAAACTGTAATTTAACAGTAACTTGTGTGCTCTTATATATATAAATAAAATGTTTATTTCTTCTGTACAATAACATTCATATATTGTACAATAACACTATTAATATTTACAAAACAGAAGAAAGAATTTTAATAAATAAACAATAACAGTTTACAGTGATTTCTTTTACATTAATTTACTCAGGGATGTTAGGAAATATTATGATTTTTTATCCGAATTTTGTTGCTTTTTAATCAAATTTTCGTCGTATTCTGAAATAGTATGGTGTTGTATTATCAATCCAGAACATATCAAAAACATTGCAATCGACACAAATATAGCTGAATGTTTATCCTGCACTCGTTGCTGCTCAGCTCTTAACTGCATTTGTTGTCTTATTATTTTACTCCTCTTATCTTTCAAAGTCCTTCTCAAAGTTTGTCCATAATGTGCCTTTGTCCATGTTTCAAAGTCAAAATGAGCTCTAGCCTCCTGAGCTCTTACATGATCATAATTTGACATTCGTGATCTGTAAAATGCTGCCAATGGATCTTCTTTTGCTTCATGAACTGGTCTGTTTACAATTGAAGCTCGTTGCCCTCTTGCAGCTAAATCACGATCGTACTGTTTTCGCTTAGAAAAGTTACCTAAGATTTCATATGCATCCGATACACTTTGGAACTGTATTTTAGCGTCTGTGGATTTATTTTTATCAGGATGATATTGTTTTGACAATTCGTAATAAGCTGACTTAATGTCATCTTGTGTACAATCTGGTTTGATTTTTAGAGTTTCATAATGAGTTGGAATCCTAGTTTTTGTACACATATAAAGTTTCACTTCATGAATTGAATTTAGAATTGGTCGTGAACGGTTCATTTTCTGTAAATAATAAATAAATAAATTGAAGAAAATGTCGCATTCAATAAACCGAAGTTGCTTAAATCAGTTGGATTAGGCATTTAGAAATAAAATTTAGAAGTCTGTATACATAGAGAAAATTGCGTACGATGTAGTTTTGTTACCTTGGGTATTGAACAACTAACTTGAAGCAATGTCACCAAAACATGTCAAACTTTAAATGCCAATGGTCGCATTATTAAAAACTCACGTTATTGCAGTGGACATTAGTAAGCTATGAACGAACAATAGAACAACTGACTTTTCAACGTGTTTACGACTATTTCAGATTAGGATAATTTCATTTTCAAGGCCAATAAATTATTTGTATGTAACGAATAAAATTTAACCTTTATTGAACAAGCAGATCCTTACGCAAGTACCAACGTTGAGCAGTAAAATGTTCAATCTTCACTCGTGCTTAACTCGAGCTGATCGCTTCACATACGAACGCCTGGTAAGTCAGAAACCTGCCTTGCCTGTGCTCGCTTCAAATCGAACATTCTTTCGAAAGGGTTCGGTACGTGACTCGAGATTACGACTCGGCGCGGGCTTGCACCCGACGTTCTTTTCAATTCCGACGCGCTTCGTGGTAGCGCAGTGGCGCTTAGCCGCGGGCGCTACGACTTGGCTCTGCGGTTACGCGTCGGAATCGGTGCGCGCGCGAGCCAACTAGTCGTGCGGCAATCGGCGAGCGGGCGTCCCCATAATCGATCCCAACAACGAGACAGCTCACCAGCTCTCGTTCTTTCCCCGCCGCGCTGAATCACCTTATCAGATAGCGACGCCGCAGCAATGTAGGCCGGGAGGCCGTTATCGGTCTGTTTGCCGAAGATAAGCGACGGGCGGGCGCGTACGCGCAGCGGCGGCCCGCAGAAGGCGTCCACTTGCGGCGCGACAGTCCTCGTCCGTGGAAGCGATGGTGCTGAAGAGCCAGGGCGCCGGGGCGGCGCAGCTCGAGCGCAGAATCGAGGTGGTGAAGTACGTGCTGCTGTGCATTGGCGCGATCCTGCTGGTGGGTAATCGGCCGATCGGCCGCGGCTCCGGGAGCTTATACATCCGATAGGCCGCGAGGGCTTATCAGCCGTGAGTCACGGCGGTCGCGCCCCGGCCCGCTTCCGGTCCGCGTGCCCGGTATTCACGAGAGATTCGCACTGCTGCTGCTCGCAGATCATCGGCCTGGCGCTGTTCGGCCTGACCGTCTGGCTGCGCGCCGAGCCGGGCTTCCAGGAGTGGGTGGACTTCCTCGACATCGCCGAGTTCTACATCGGCGTCGACGTGCTCATCTTCGCCGCGCTGCTGGTGGTCGTCGCCTCGGTCTTCGGCTGCATCTCGGGCCTGATGGAGAACCGGATGGCTCTGCTCGCGGTGAGTGTCGCGCGCCTCGAGCCGCGCGATCGGAGAAGCGGCCCGCCACTGAACCGCGCTGCTTGTGCCCCTCCGTTTAGAGCGTGGCTCTCCAGGGGCTGTGCTTCGTGTTCGAGCTGGCCGGGGCGGCGGTACTGCTCGACTACTCGACCTACGACAGCAAGATCCAGCCGCTGATCAACCGGTCGATGACCAACCTGATCGTCAACTCGCAGCACCAGCACGTGTCCGTGGTGCTGAGGATGCTGCAGGAGGGGGTGAGTAGCGGGGGCTCGCGCGCGCGCGCGCCGCCCGAGCGGCGGTCCCGTCCGCTCGGGCGGCGCGCGCGGTTGGTCGCCTTTATCGAGCCGGAGCGGCGCGTGCGCAGATCGGCTGCTGCGGCGCGTCCGGGCCCATGGACTACCTGACGCTGCTGAAGCCGCTGCCCGACGAGTGCCGCGACTCGGTCACCGGCAACGCCTTCTTCCACGGCTGCGTGGAGGAGCTCAGTTGGTTCCTCGAGGCCAGGTCCGGCTGGGTGGCCGGCCTCGCCCTGGGGCTCTGCATGATCCACGTGAGTCTCGGCCGGGCGCGCGCTGCCGCGCCTCGCACCGCTCACGCGCCCGCTCTGCCTCTGCTCGCAGGTCCTCCAGGCGGTTCTCGCGCTCATCCTGGTCCACGCGCTGCAGAAGGAGGAGCAGAGCGCCACCTTCGGGCGCTAGAGGCCCGCTCGCCCTTCGCCCTTCGTCTCCGCCCCCGTCTTTTCTCGCTCGCCTCGCCCTGGCTTCCGTCCTGACGCGCAACTTCGAGGACCACCCGACGTCGGACGTGGCCGAGCGTTCGCCACTCCTCGTACGACCGCATCGACCTGCGTCTCGTTTCTTTTGGCTGTACAATACTGCTTGAATAAAATAACTTTTGTAGTCTTGAACGAGGGTGTGTTATTTCGAGAATCACCGACGGTGCCCCGCTTGCGATAGCTAAGTCGTCCGGGGGGCAGGGGAGTTTGACCTCGAGCCCCTGCCGTTGCCTTTTCGTCACTTTGCCTTGGCTTGGCCGTTGCCGCGCGCTTGCGTGAGTTCAGCCGCTAGTAGACGTCTCATTGTTCGCGCCGAGTCGAGCGGCCTCTTGGCGCTTGCTCCCGATTGCGCGTTGCCGCGCGTTTATCATCGCATCGATTGCGCTGGTAGCCGCAACGCAAACCCAACGATTGGCTTGCGCAATGGGCGCCGCGATCGGTCTCCTCGAAGGCGGACCGTCGCATCCTGCGCTCCCCGGCGGCGCGACCTTGAGGCGCTTGGCTCATTGTCGTGACAATGCGCACAACAGCCGAAGGCTACGCGGCCGTCGGCGCTTTCGTCAGTCTGGATGAGTGTGCGATTGAGTGCGAGGCCGCGCAGTTGGATTTGATTTATTCGATTCTTTATTTACAAAAATCACTGATACACAATGGTACATAGGACGCGCGCTGCGCAATGATACACAATACCAGAAAGGACGGACGCACAATTTCTTAGCAACGCGCATCCTCGAATGTGGTCGCGCGAGAGCACCTCGACCAATGGTTTTCTGTGGTTTTTTTTTTTTTTTTTTTTTTCACATAATTTACCGTTCCCGAGAGTTCACGGACGAGAGAGAAAATAAAAGAGGAGAATCTCAAGTAGGTACTGGCGATTGTTCTTGTACGCGCGTGCCGCAATCGCCTTCCTTCCTTTTTTCGAGCTGCGTATGTGGGTCGCTTTAGAAAAGGCGCGTACTAGCTTGCGAAATGTCGCGTCATTAACAGATCGTTTTGAGAGAAAGAGAAAGAGAGAGTGAGAGTGAGAGAGAGAGAGAGAGAGAGAGTGCGCGCGGTACGCACTCGTCACGAATGCAAATCGGAGCTTTTTCCTTGCTCGAGCGCTCTACACATCGCTCGCAAAGCTAAACACAACTATAAGTTTGCTTCGATCGATATATATATATATATATATATATATATATTTATGTATACGTATATGTATATGTAATATGCTTTATAAATAGACAATAATTTAAATGGTTGTGTTGGCTGAACGCGAATCTAGACTGGTGAAAATTTGGACGAAACGACAAGTTGCCGTGGTGCGCACGTTAGGGTCGTTGCCGGCTACGAAGGGAAAGTAGGGGGGCCTGCGCCGAGGTAGGTGTCAAGAACGGCCGAGCGGCGGGCGGCCTAGCCGACGAAGGGGTAGCCGGGGTAGCCGACGGCCGGCGGGAAGTAGCCCGGGTAGGGCGGCACGTTGGGCGGCAGGGCGATGGTGGAGGTGACGTAGGTGGTGGTCTCGGTGGGCACCAGGCGCGTGGAGTAGAGCGTGGTGTAGGCGGTCTTGGCGCCGAAGGTGAGCTTGAGCACCTTGGAGTCGGACACGGTGGCCAGGGTCTGCTGCACGAGCGGCAGGCTGGTGACGGCCAGCTGCGGCTGCGCCACCGGCTGCGGGAACAGCGGCAGCTGCGGCACGGGCGGCGCCGCCAGCAGCGTGGACGCGCCGTACTCGTAGCTGGTGCGCGGCACCGTGCCCACGGCCCGGCTGATGGTCGACAGCACTGTCTGCCCGTTGCTGATCAGCGGGATCACGTGCGAGTCGTAGAGCGTCTGTAGGCTGACCACGGGCCGCGAGGTGGTGATCACCTGCGGCCCCGCCGCCTGGCCCTGCAGCAGCTTCAGCAGCGCCAGCTGCTGCGCCTGCTCGGCGCTCGCCGCCGCCGCCGCCGCCGCCGCCTGCTCGGGCTGCCTGGGCGCCGCGACGCCGCGCTCCGGCTGGCCGGCCGGCCGCGGCCCCCTGCCCAGCAGGTCCAGCTCGGCCTCGGCCTCGGCGCCGGGCGCCAGCACGCGCTTGGGCGCGTCCTCGTCGTCGCCGCGCTCCTCGTCGCCGAAGTCCAGCTCGAGGTGCAGCTCGCTGCCGGCCTCGTCCAGCCGCGAGTTGAACTCGTTGAGGGTCTTGCTGGGCACGAACTGGTAGAGCTCGGAGGGCGGCAGGGTCTTGGTGGCGGTGACGATGCGCGCGATGTTGTAGGTCTGCACGAGGGTGAGCCGCGTGCTGGTGCTGCCGTTGGCCGCGACCACGGGCAGCAGGTGGGTCTTGAGCAGGGTCTGCGTGGTGGAGAAGGTCTCGGTGAGGATCTCCAGCGGCGGCGTGGCCATGCTCGGCTCGAGCGTGATGGGCGGCAGCGTGGCCACGGACGAGTCCAGCGGCAGGCTGCTCTCGTAGGCGGCGCCCGTGTTGGGCGCCAGTATGTTCTCCGTCAGCGGCTCGCTCGGCGCCGCCGGGCCCGACGGCTCCGCGCTCGCGAACGACCTCCTCAGCGTCGACGTGACCGTCACGTAGCGCGTGTTGCGGCTCGTGCCCACCTGCAAGCACACGGTGGCGCGCCTCGCGCGTCATCTCGGCCGCTCGACTTTGCTTTTTTCTCAACGACGAGCGCCTACCTGGAAGGCGTAGGGCGACTTGACGGTGGCGATCTCGAAGTAGACGTCGGGCAGGTCCGCGGCCGTGGAGATCTCCACGTTGACGGTCTCCACGGGCAGGGGCTTGTCGGCGTGCGGGGCCTCGCTCTGCTGCACGCTCACGTTCACGATGGCCGCGTCCTCGCTCTCGCTGCCGTCCAGCTCGCCGTCGTACTCGACGCCCTCCTTGCGCTGGGCGCCCGGCGGCAACGGCGGCGCCTCCTCGGTGGCGGCCGCGCCGCCCGGCCCGGCCTCGGCGCCCGGGGCCGGCTGCGGCTGCTGCTGCGCCGGCGGCGGCGGCGGCGCCTGCTGGCCGGCCGCCGGCCGCGCCTCCTCGTCGCCGGCCTGTTTGCGGATGACGATGCGCGGCTTGGGCGTGGTCTTGTACGACCAGCGGCCCTGCGTGCGCGGCAGCTTGGACTTGATGGCCGGGTTGGAGACGAACGGCGGCGCCGACGACTCGCTCTTGGCGGCCTTGAGGTGCTTGGTCGCGGCGCCGCCGCCGCCGCCGCCGCCGCCGCCGCCGCCGTTACCGCCGGACGGCCGGAAGCCGCTGCGACGCCGGCCGCCGCTTGGCGATTCCGTGCTCGTCGTGGCTGCCGGCTGCGAGCGGTTCCTGCGCACGTCCGCGGATTGACAATTAGCCCGAGCGCCGGCGATCGGCGAGCCGCGCGCTCCGCCTCGCACTCACTTGTAGCCGGGCCGCGATCCGGCCGGCCGATTCTTGCGTGCAGCGGGCTCGTTGCTCGGCTCGGACTCCTCGCCGGCTGCGATCTTGTTGCTGCGGAACTTGGGCCTCGCCGGGCTGTTGGGGTGTCGCCGACCTGGTCGCCCTGTCGGGGCAGACGGATCGTTCGAGAGATCGGTGCCAGTCGAGGCGCAAGTCGGGTCGAGGGGCAGGGCAACGTACCCGGCTGTTCCGCGTGGCTGGGCGGCTCGTCGTCGACCGGCAGCGCGGGCTCCAGCTGCTGCTGCTGCTGCTGCTTGATCTTCTGATGGGGTCCGATGGTCTTGAGGATGCGCTGGCTGCTGCTCGGCCGGATCTTGTTGGCGTTTTCGAGGAGGCTGTTGGCGTTGGCCGGGGCGAGCACGCGCGACGAGCTCTGCAGCACCTGGGCGTACTTGCCGTTGATGTAGGTGCCGATCACCGAGGTCTCGTGCACCGTCGTCAGTCCGTCCTTGACAATCGTGCCGCCCAGCTTGGTCACCAGGCCCGTGGGGTTCTCCTTGTTGGACCTGGCCGACGCTCGCGGCTTGCTGCCAAGCGACTTGGCCGACGGCCGCAGGTTGATCAGCTGCAATCATCGCAGCGAAAAACGAAGCCTCAGTCTGGCTGACGGCGACGCCGACGAAACAAAGCGCGCTCGCGGCGACGCGAGTTAGAAAGGGCGAGCGGCCGGCGCGAGTGGAAAGGAGCCGTCGGCCGCATCGAGGTCGCGGTCAAGCCGCGCGCGTGGGAAAGGCGCGCCGCGACACGCACCTTGTAGGACTCGTCCACCACTTCGGCCGGCTGCTTCGACAGAAAGTCGTACTCCGGCTCGGCCAGGTTGTTCTTCACGCCGGGCACGTCGTCCGCCTTGGCGCGCACCTCCACCAGCGTGGACTGGGCCGGCGTCCTGGTGGCCAGCTCCGGGCGCGCCGCCGAGTCGCCGACCGCGGGCTCGCCGTCCTTGCTGGTCTCCGCGCTCTTGCGCGTCTTGCTCGGCTTGATGTCGGGCCTCGCGGCCTCCTCCGCCGCCGCCGCCGCGGGCCTCGTCTCGATGGCCGACGGTGGCGACGCCGGTCCGCCGCCCGGCTGCTCGCCGCCTCCCTCTGCAATCAGTCGACGTTTGGCCATCTCGACGCGCGCCCGTCGACGCCGGAAAGTCGGCCGAGCGCGACGCCGAAACTTGGCTTTCTCTCGCGTGCACCGCGCGATCGTTGTTGCCGCCGCAGTCGCGCGCGCCTGGGAACGGTGCTCGCGCGCGCAGGGGTCAACGAACCGGCCGCGGTGCAACCGAGCGACGCGTTTTTTTCCGTGCTTCCTTTGCCGCCTCGTCGAGTCGATGACGCGGCGCGAGAGAGAGAGAGAGAGAGTGATACCTTCGCGTTTCGAGCTCTCACGCGCGCGGAGACGAGAGATCGAGAAAAGGTCGTGCGCGCCTCGACAGCTCCGACTTCGATTCGGCGATGCACGATCGCAACGCGCGTCGGTCCGAGGGCTTGCGCAAGGGCTTGACGCAACCACAGCGCCAGCCGAATCGAAACGATTGGATAACGACTGCACGCCTCCTTGAGCTTATTATGCATCGCAGTTCACGGCGCCGCGCTATCCCCCCCTTTCTCTTCGCGAGCACACGTGCAATGCACGGTCGTACTGCGACTTCCGTCCGATTCGTCCGGTCGAACAACGCGTCGGTAACGCTCTTCGAGCTCGAGCGAGCGGTGCACCCGGAAGAGAATGGCTACTCGCCCGAATTGCCGAACGCGTGGAGGTTTCGCCCGTACGACTCCGGATGACGGCCGACGAGAGGAGCACGCGGTGCGCGACCGGCGAAAAAGCGATAGAAGGCGCGCGAGCGGGCGGTTCGTTGAGCGTCGGCGAATGTTGGTTGAGCGCGCGCGCGCGCAGCGATCGGTCGCGAGGCTCACCGGCGGGAGCGGACTGCGGACTGAAGACCATGACGGTGTTGCCGATGGTGGTGGTGAAGTCGAGGAAGCCGTAGACGGTCTGCGTGACGATGTCGCTGTCGGCCTGCAGCGGTGCCTCGGCGACGGCCGGCTGCTCCGGCACCAGGCTCACCGGCTGCTCCGCTGCTGCTCCCGTGTAGATCTGCGCCGTGCCACTGCTCGCTGAATCACAGGAGACTTTAGCTTGGTCGGGGCACGATTGGGACTCGCTTCGGGTTCGCCGATTTCCCCGGCCCACCGCCGCGTAATTTTCCGCGTAATTTTCCGCGTAAACGTTCGTTGCACTCCGGTGGGCCCTCCCTCCGTTGCAGGCTCTCTCGGCAGGGCGGACGCGCCGGCGATTAGTGGAGATCCAGCGAGCGACGGCATCCCCGTCGCTCGCGCGGCATCTCGTCCAGCGAAAATCGGCTCGCGGGAATGGGGTTTCGGGCGTGTGCGCGCACAAACATCCTTGTCCCGCGCGAAGAAAAGGGGGCGTGGCGCGTGCAGCTGCGCGGCTTGCGAAACAGCGCGTCCTTGACTGGCCTGCTATTCTAATCGCGGACAAGCGGCGAGGAGAAAGGCGATCGACTTCCTGCATTTTCTCGACGCGCGTCGCCGTCCTGCGCTCATCGGAGCCCGCGACGAAAGGTGGGGGGGAGGCCGCGGCTTAGTCGGCAGGATTTATCCGCGTTCCCCTTTGCCCCGCGTCGTGCCCAAGATTCGCGTCGCGCGCACTTACCAAGGGCGAGCATCGCCATCGTCGCGGCCACTGCGGCGAACGTCATCTTGACTTTTGCGCTGCTGCTATTGCTGTGGGCGCTGCTGCTGCTGCTGCTGCTGCTGCTGCTGCTGCTGCGGGCGCTACTGCTACTGGCACTCAGCAGAACGGCATCGTGGGTCGCACTGCTCGAGAAACCCGCCGGTCGGATCTGCAAGCGGACGGCGTTTGTCCTCTCGAGTGGCTGGCTGACTGCTCTCGGCCTGCTGCGGACAGCGGAGTATGCGTACGTGTATACATTGGCGAACGCTCCAAGCGGCGCTCGTCGCTTAGAAAGTTCTCTCGATAGGACTTTCCACGGAGATTCAATAGCCGCTCTCTTCGCGCGGGGACCCTCCGACGTTTCACTTTTTCCGGAGCGTCCCGCTCCCGAGGATAGACGGAGCGCGGCCCCCGCGGCAAATTCGCCGGTGAAATTCCGCCGAGCTTCCGAGCGAGCGTCGAACGGGCCAGAGGACGGACGAGGAGAAGAGAAGAAAAGGAGCAAGAGCATTTTTAGAAAGCACGACTACTCTAATGCGCCGACATTCCAGCGCGGTCCAAGCGGCGATGGGAGACGCACGGGAGGTCGAGAGGAGAGACGAATTTACCGCCGCGGCGCGCGACCGGAATCCAGATTCCAGCGCTACCGAAGGCGAGAGTAGAGGCGTGCCGCACTCGTCGCTCCTCGCGCGTCGTCCGCCTTCGTCGGGGGACGGAGCGCCTCCGCGCCCCGACGCCACCGGTCGAAAATCGCGCCTCGTCGTCTGGCTCGGCGGAGCGCAGAGAAGGCTGGCGAACGCGAGAAAACGAATCGCCGGAGATGTGTTTGGCTCGCGTCGCGCCTTTCACTCTCCCTTCGCGGCGAGCAGCGGTTCGCGAGAGCGAGTCGCGCGTTGCAAAACGGCGAGTCGCGTAATTCCGCTCCCCCTGCGCTTGCCGCCGCAACGGCGCACGTGCGCGACTCCGGTTGTCGCCTGCTCCCGGGCCGACCCGCCCGAGCCCGCCGACGGAGAGCGCGGCGGATCCTCGACGACCGAATTCCCGGCCGAGCGAGGCTGTCCGCGAAAAAGGAACGAGAGGAGAAACGACGAAAGACCCGGCGACGAGTCGAAAGTTCAGCGGCGGTCAAGCGTATGCAAATGCTCCCTCGCTCTCGGCGGAATATCGCTGAAACCGGTCACTGGCCGACAGGCTCAAGATCAGGGACGAGCGCTGTCGCCCGAAAATTTCTCTTCTTTCGCGGAGGCACCGTTCCGATCGATCCGCCGCCGATCGTCGCGCTCGGCGTGGGCAGTACCGGTCAGCCGCGCGCGGGCGCGCCTTTCTCTCGTTTCGCTTTGTCCGCGCCGGACCTAAGCTCGTCAAAACGCGACGTCGCGCGCATCTCCGATCGGCGGATGCATCTCGAGACTCGCTCGCCTTGGCCGCGCGCCCGGTCGCGAGGCTCGGCCCTCGTTTTCCACCCCCGCGGCGAAACGGCAAGCGTCGCGGCGGCGCGCTTGCGGAATCGCGCGCCGTTGCGAAGGCGCACGGAGCGCCCGCGCCGCTTTATTGCGAGCTGCGCTCGCTACGCGTTGCGCAACCGCGCTCCGACGATTTCCAGCCCGCGCTCGCTCGACTTTTCGCCGCCGTTCTCCGCGCGACGACGACGGCGACGACGACGGCGACGACGACGACGGCGACAACGACGACGACGCCGGGGTCGAACTTGACCTCGATCGCGCGCATCGGCCCACCAAAGACGTTGCACCCCGCGAGCCGCTTCCGCTCGCGCGAGAAATCGGCGCGCCGATAGCGGCGCTCCGGCTTCCGCGGCTGGAGGCGCGCGAGCGTGCGCCGCCACTCGTAACCGCACGTAATCGCGCTCACTTTCACTCGGATCCGCGCGAGCGTACTCGCGACGTGACTCGCGGCCGGTCTTGGGAAATCTGGGTTGCGAATCCGGGCCGAGCCGCGGGAGAAAGGACGACGGCCGGAGCGCGCGCGCTCGCCGCGGAAAGCCACCTCGACTTTTCCGCCTGGAGAGCCCTCTCACCGGGGGACGCATACTCACGTGTGTGCGGCGAAGCGACGCGGGGACCGTAGCCACCACACTCGTCACACTTGGCTCAGCGTACGACAGCGCAGATCGAGGCGAGTGCGGCGAGGCGCATTACTCGCTCGGGCGTCTCGGAGTGACTGGGCGAACGCGCTCGGTCGCGGCCGCGTTGCCGTTCGTCGCGCGCGGCTTTCACTTCGCGCGCGCGCGCGTTCTCGCTCGCTCGCACCACCAATTTTCCCCCGTTGCTCGCTCGCGCCGAGCGGCAGACGAGTCGGCGCTCGCCCGACGCGCGCCTGCTCGCTGGATTATCGTGCCGAGCAACCGATCTTCGGCCACCAACGCTCGTCGTTCGGACTCGCCTCACCTCCGAGAACCACGCGCCGAAAGCGAGCACCCTTGCGTTTCTTAACTTTCGGAAGCCACTTGAAAGCCTATTCGAGTGGGCTCCTTTCAAGAGAAAACAGATTTAAAGGAAACCCCGAGAGAAACCTGCCGAATGGCTTCGAGTGACAATCGATTTCTTCTCACGGCAGTTTGTTTATTTTCGGATTAGAGAGTCTTTCTGGCTCTCAAATCAAAGCAATCATCGTTTCGTCTTCGGAAAACAATAGAAATGCGAGGCTTCATCCGGCAGCCTCAACGCCGCGTTCTTGGCAACAGGCGCTCGTTCTCCGCTCTGTCTTCTAGCCGACGTCGTAGCGACAAGTCACTTAAAGCGTAACCATAATGCGTGGCGCGGTTCAGTTCTCAGCCACGAGAACTTTGTTGATCGCCCGTGTGGGTCACGTCAGTGTTTCTCAACTCCAACAGGTGGACAAAAAAATAAACGGCCGCTACCGCCAAGTCCTCGATCGTCTTGCCTTTTCCTTCTTCCCTGATGACGTCTATGGTTCGACGCAGGCCAGATCAGCGAGTTGCGGCGAGAGTGGTAGCGAGTGATAGTCTACAGCACGTTCACTTGGGAACTTGCTGATCATTCCTGCTGACTAACTCTACCAGATAACTCCAAAGATACCAACCGAATCTTTCTAGTACAATCGCGTAGACGATACTGCCATCTGTCGATCAACTAGCTAAATTTCATAGTGAAACTTGGCAGAAGCAGAAGACCGTATAGTGACCACATGGGTTGAACTACACCAAACACGTGTGCGGTTGACCTTATTTGTAGTAGAGGGATTTGTTGATTGCTCCTGTACTTTCGGTTAACCTCTTGTTTTATTATTAAACGCTATCTCAAACAAAACTGATCTGAAATCGACATACACTGTAAACCGACAGATTCATAACCTGTTTGTGCAATATCAAAAAGTTTTTCGTTTTCACGAATTTGAACAGTATTTACATTACCATTTGAATATGGACAAACATATAAGTATTAAATCAATTAGAAAATGCGTCCGGAAACAAAAACGCGCTCAGCATAGACTAGCTAGAGATATGGATGTTGAATGCTCAGAAACACCGACACAGGTATAAATATATCTTTAGTCTACACACTTTCTCGGTTAGTGTCCTGAACAAACGTTAATTTTTATTGTTTCTATCCAGTACATAGCAATATGTAATGCTGGTTTGGTAACTGGACTCCAGAGAGAAGCTTTGGAGCAATTCATTGGAAATCTAGTACCTAACTTCAGTTTAACCATGCCCCCAGAAAAATCATACAGTTTTGTTAATTTTTCTAATGTGTGTAATGCTCAAGATTTTTATAATAAAGTCCATGGGATCGCACAAGGGCCAAATCAAAATACTGTTTTTTATTTAATTTTTATCAAAAACAGTAAGTCTCACTCCTGATAAATTGTTTTGTTTTATAACTTGAAAATTTAATTGTACTGTAAGCATCATTTTTAGTTCCCAGTATTGAAGAACCATTTGGCAATGAGTTACCTCCAGGTCTGAGGCTTATAACAGATTTTATCTCTCCAGAAGAAGAGTCTATTTTATTACAAAGTATCAATTGGAATGAAGAAGATGGTGAGAATTTTTGTATATCGTTATTCTTAACTATCAAATTGAAAAATATTTGATGTATGTAATTTATAACAGTAGATGTAGATTCACTTCTGAAGAATCGCAAGGTCAAACATTTTGGCTATAAGTTTAGGTACGATAATAATTTAGTGGATGTAGATAATCCCATCAATCCAATACCAACAAGTTATAAATTTCTGCAAAGTTTATTCGACAAGAACGATTGTGGAAATATCAAATATGATCAACTTACAATCAACAGATATCTGCCTGGTCAAGGTAAATTGCACAAGTATCACTTGAAATTTGATTTTTGATTTAAGCAATGAATTGGGAACACTAATTTTTAGTATTTTGAAGGAATTCCACCCCATATAGACACTCACAGTGTGTTTGAAGATCCAATACTGTCTCTTTCTCTGGGTTCAGCATATGTAATGGATTTTAAGCAGGGTGATCAGAAAGTTTCATTAGATTTGCCTGCGAGATCTTTATTGATCATAAGCGGCGAATCCCGTTACGCTTGGAGCCACGGTATCTGCCCTCGGCATAATGATAATGTTCGAACAGACAATGGTTTTTCAACTCGTTCACGGGCCACTAGAGTTTCATTTACATTTCGAAAAGTTCACCGAGGTGATTGTCAATGTAAATATCCTGAGTACTGTGATAGCCGAAGAAAAAAGACCTTCAAAGTAACGCCTATTGACAATTCTGTCGCGTCAGAACTTGAAAATCTATACGTACACGATGTAAGTATAAAATTCTTGCTCGAGACCACACAGTATTGATGTATTTACAAAACTATCAATCTAATATCAATGAATTTATTACAGGTATACGAGCAAATCTCGGGTCATTTCAACGAAACCAGGCACAAGCAATGGCCTAACGTGACAAAATTTATAGAAGGCGTGGAAACTGGTGGACTTCTGTTGGATGTCGGATGCGGTAATGGGAAATACCTGCAAGGACACACAAATGTCTTTAAAGTAAATTTTTGTTTTATTTATTCATTAACTCTTGTACTTTATAATAATTTACAAAAACTTTATATTTTCATTTTAGATGGGCTGTGATCGTAGCACAGGTCTTGCTGAAATATGCCGAAGTAGAGGATTTCAAATAATATTCGCCGATTGCCTTCAACTACCGTACAGATCAAATGTTTTAGATGCAGTATTATGCATCGCAGTCATTCATCATTTGTCAACCAACGAACGCAGAAAACAATCAATTTGTGAGATCATGAGAGTCCTTAGACCAAGTGGCAGAGCACTTGTTTACGTGTGGGCCAAGGAACAGAATAAGGATTCTGTCAAGTCGACATACTTGAAATTCGGCGCGAGTAAAACGAAAAAGGACGACACAAGCATCAAGTATGACGTGCAGTATCGTAAGACTGAAAACAATTTGACACTTCCGATTCACGAGAATCGAACTGAATTTACTCATAGCGACATGCTCGTACCGTGGAAACGAAAAGGTGGCGGAGACTTTTTACGATTTTATCATGTTTTTGAAGAAGGAGAGTTGGAAAAGTTATGCTCTGATGTACCGTCAACCAAAGTACAAAAGGTTTATTACGACCAAGGAAACTGGTGTATAGTACTTGAGAAAACGTCTGTAACGGAAGTTGACTGTAAATGAAATTGTTCGAATCCCAATGAAATGTGTACATATGTAAATATATATACCATCACTAAAACAAACTGATTTGTTTTTTGAAAAGTTTATTTAATCCCTATAAGATATACAAAACAAACGTTTTCATCATAAACTAAGATATTTCCTAAAGTAACACAGGAAATTTTCGTCATGAGATTTCTTCTTTCTTTTTTTTCTAAATTTGTTCTTATTAATTATCACCATCAATGTATCTGCTTGTCACTATCATCAGTACAATTCATCTTAACCCAGCTATATTGTTAAAAATTATGCACATCTGCAAATCAGTATTAAAATATTACAATTTTATATTTTACAGTATTAGTCCTCCAGCTCCCTCCCATGAAAACTTGTTTTAGCCTTCTCAATCATTTACTCTTTGCTTTATTCTTTGCTCTTGCACTTTATCGCGTTATTTATGCTAATATTACAATTATATAATTTTTCCATGACAGCTAAATATTAGGGGAGACGAAGAGTTTAATGCTGAAAGTGGTAGAAAAGAGCTTCTTTTTATGACAATGTGCTTTTTGAAATCAGTCTGATTGCGCGAAGAAGCAGCGATACGCTTCCGGTATATTTTTCTCACATATATAATTATCATAATCATCATCCTGGCAATAAAATCTTGAAGTAATATTGAGCTTGTAGCTCATCAGTATCTTATATAGTTTGCTCTAATCGACGACGATTAGGTAATCTGTACATACTAAGACCTAGGAATGTTAACATTATAAGAAACCACAATAATTTATTATAATACAGCCTGCTGTACACCAGAATGATTTTCATGTAAGGCAGTACGAAGTTTATAGACACACCACCTTGTCGTTTTTTTCCTCCAACGATAAACGCTTAGTTCAAGTATGTTTACTTTTTTCACGAGTGTCGTTTAAATTTCGAAAAAATACTTATAAAAGTTTGTCGTTTTTAAGAAATATCGTTTTTATTGACAAAAATGAATGTTTGTAAGAAGGGGATATAACGATGGTAAGGGGCAGGGACCGATGATCTCTTTGATTAATTAAATCAAACATAAATAGCGCCAGTAGTAGATCGCAATACAAATCAGAAGCTATTCGTCAGTCGAATTAAAAAAAGAAAGAGAATTCAAATATTACATTGATAATCTTGTATCGCAATAGACGCTGGATAATAATAAAAAAAGAATGAATTTTTACGAATCGAGAGTGTAATACAGTTTGATAAAACAGGCTCAAGCACTCTATAATCCCCGTTCCAACGATAAACAGCATATTACATTTGAGAGGAGTGGAATAACAATGATTTACGTTATGTACGCACAACAGCCACCCTTCATCTCACTTTAAATCCTTTTTTTACTCGTTTCCCTCACTTCTGTGCAATACATCATCGAGAGAAGTACTCATTTGCTCATCGGCCGTGGAGCAAACAAAATTTCGAAAAAAAAATTGTTAATATTTTTCGTTTTGATTTCAAAGAAAGTTTCACTCGACTTTCTTTTCGCTCGCTAAACCGCATTCGCAGGCTAATTAAACTCTAGGCTCCATCACGCGCGTTGCACAATGTTACTGCGACTCAATGTATATATATGCAATATACATAGGATCGCATTGTAACGCTCGCGATCGAGATCAAGTCGTACCGTCAGTGGTTTTACACAACATCGATATAAATTACACAGGTACAGCGAGGTGCAGCGTATCGACACACTCCTCGTTTAGAATCGCAAATAAAATAAAAATTAAAAAAAAAAAAAACAAAAAGGAAAAAATGGTAAAGCCACTATCTCTCCACCTGCGCGATTCACTCAGCCGCCGATCCGAGCATGAGAATTATTTAAAGAATAAGAGGTATACTGTACAAAATGTCGAGTAATTACAAAAAAACTGCTCCTTCATCGTTAATAATATTAAACCGCAAACTATGCTGGCACCGAATGAACTGAACTGACAACGTTCCTCGAGTTTTATTCCTTTGGAAGTGCAGGAACGTACTTCATCGATCAATACATATATCCCTTCCATTATTTTCTGCTTTTATTTATTTTTTTTCATTTATCATTACTCATATTAATAACTAAATCAAATGATTTCATAGTTTTATTACTTTTTTTGTAAACATAGAGTGGAGACAAAGTCAGCGATAATTGAGCCCCTGCGCCTTCCACCCCAAGACAGAAAAGTGGGCACCATCTCTTATTTTTTCTCTCTACCTCTCGTCAAATGTTTCATTTTTATTATTTTTTTTCTTGTTTAATCCTTTCGCTATCTTATGCCACTTTACATGTTTTACTATCAATATGTTAAAATACAAATGTCACTCATACAACTAACGCATCTCCTCTCGCGTAATCATCATTATCATAAATCACTCACACATACAATTTTTTTTCTTTAAAATAATTATTATAATCGCGGTTGTTGTAGTTGTTGATTCCTCATTTTGTTTTTTAATAATTATTGTGAAAACAGTCTGGGGGGACTGGTGGTTAGTTATTTGTTCTCCTAGTGGTGTAAGTACGCTCACGCTAAGGTCAATGGTATGTACAGTAGGTGAGGTATGCATCGGGATCAAGGACACGGGGTGATAGATGAGATTTTTGACGTGCGTCCGGCTAATCGTTACTCTCCTTGCTATTCGTCTTCATCTTCCCACTCCTCCTCGCTTTCAGCTTTCTTGGCCGCTGCCGGTGCTCCAACTCCTGGGCCGTCCTTCATCTTTTTTTTGTACGCAGTCATTTCCTGTAAAAATGAGAGAAGTCGGATTAGCAACGAGATTACTGCATCTGTGACTCGGAGTCGATCGACGCACGCAAACAACACTCACTCTTTCGTATCGAGCCTTGTCCTTCTCAGCCATAGCTTCGTATTTGCTCTTCAGTTCGGGACTGGCATCGGACCACCTCTT